ACCTGGCCACAAGCATCCATCCTGGGGCATTGAACCACCACCACTTCTCTCCATCCGGCAGAGGCACCAGTGGAGGAGGAGGAGAAGGAGGAGGATCGTCGACGGCGGTGGGTGTTTAGGGGAGAGAGAGAGAGAGAGAGAGAGAGAGGCACCAGAGGAGGACGGAGGAGGATCATCGAGGGCAGTGGGGATCTGCGGCGGTGGCCGTGGGGATCTGAGGCGGTGGTGGTGGTCTGCGGTGAGGTGAGGCTTGGTGGTGAAAAAGAATGTGTGAGAGGTTTGAACAAATGGTTGTAGACAGAGAACAGGGGCGGTGATATATATCCCACGAAAAAAACATTTCACCTTTAGCGACCAAATTTGTTTTTTGTCGCAGAATCTTAACATATAACGACCAAAATTTGGTCGGCCATTGTCTACCAGTGCATTTAGATATCAAAACGACGTCGTTTTGATATCTGCGACTAAATTGTGTTGGTCGCTAAAAGATTTTACTGTTCCCGCCCAATTTTTCACCTCCTGACATCATTTTTAGCGACTAATTTTTTAAATTGGTCGCAAAAAATCATCTTTTTGCAACAAAATTACTTTAGTCGGTAATAGTATTAAGTTTTAGCTACGAAATGTTTTTTGGTCGGCAAATGACATTTTTTTGCGACCAAAATTTTTTTGGTCGGCAAAAGTGGTCGGCAAATATGTAAATTCTTGTAGTGTTCGAGCGTTGAAGTAATCGCTCGAACAGTCTTTGCTCTCACATCGCTCGAGCAGTGGATTGATTGCTCGAGCAGTCTGTTTGGGCTCAGTTAATTAAAAATCACTTTTTGCTCCATTTTTTCTCACACTTTCTTTTCCTCTTCCCTCTCCCTTCTCTTGTCCAGAAAAACCTAGCTCTAAACCCTCAAGTCCACCCATTTCTACTAAAGATCCAATTTAGATCTTGCAAAAAAAGCGAAGAGCAAATAGAAATCAACACTTTCATTGATTAGATCATGATTTCTTGGAAGTTTTTCTCTTGGATTGCATCTCTAGCTCTTATTTTCAAAGTAGGGATACTTTTTACCTTGTATATCTAAAATTTGAGATGTATATGTGGTATTTTCTCATCTATGCCTACGTATGATATGAATGTGCTAGATTTAAATGAGTTTTGACATATAAAAAAGGGGTTTGGCTCAATTTTTTGAATGATTTTGAATAACTATTGGTGATAAAGATTATAAATGATGAGTATTCGATTTAAGAAAGCAAACGGGGGAAAACCCTAAATTTACTCAAAGTCCTAATTTTGAATTTTGATTGAAAGAAGGGATTTTGTTTAATGGAACCATGAAATATGAAATTGAGTTGATATTTAGTAGTTATATGTATAGTTGTGGTTTATGAAGAAGATTGTGGGATTTCCTAATATAATAAAGGGCTTGATCATAGTCAATGACATTGGAAATTTGAAACTTGAGTTGATATTCTACTAATGTATGAACCTTAAACAATTGAAATGTTTACAATTCATACATTGCATTGCATTCCATACTTTTATCTTATGATTGGTTCAATCTCTTGGATATTTGGAAACGTTGAAAGGGGGTAAATAGCTTATGAGTCTGGATAGTTGAGTTGGGTTTTAGAAATGAGTTGACTATTGGTACCTGCGCGGGAGCTAAGGTGCCCAATTGCCGTGTCTTAAGCTTATCGCCAGACAAATGTGGGAAAACTTTTTAGAATGTCCATTGGACCCGCCATTTTTACAATTAGCAAATATGGAAGGGAAAAAGGTTTTTGGGTGCCATCATCTCGCCGTTTTTAGAATCGGCAAATGTGGAGATATTTCCACTATAAAAATCTATATAAGTATGTATGGTTTTGCGGTTTTTGCTTAGGACATCATTGCATATTTACTGCCCTATTTTTTATAATGAGTTCTTAAATAGAATTTGTGCATTGAACATCATTGATTTTATAAGAGAAAAACAAGGATTTTATCATGACATGTGCATAGTATGATCATATGCATTTCAATCATTTATATAATTGGTTAATAGTATTCCTACTGGGCATTTGCTCATCCCAATCTAACAAAACTTTCAAAACTGAATAATGTCACTTTGCCCAAATAATAAGGCGGTGGAGATGTTTTGAATGGAGCACAATGGCTCATTGAATATTACTTGTTGAAGTTTCGGAGCTATTTTCTATTTTGGGACAAATGTCCACTTTTTGTGTAATCAAGGGATTGCCTTGAAATTTGTACGCCATTAGGGCATATTTATTTTTGGTTTTACTCTAACTCCTTGAACTATGATTTGTAGTATGAACCGAAAATGTGATGTTTTGAATTTGTTCAATGAGAAATAGATTATTTTTATTGGAAAATTATTCAGTGTGTTTGGCTTTAGTTTTCTGAATTTAGATTTTTGGAAATTGAGTTTTTTGTTTTCGTATTTTTTTGTTTTTAATGAATATTTTTTAAATGTTAAGCAATTTTTTTTTTTTTACTTTTTTAGATGCACCTTACTTAGATGTATCTAAATAATAAAATATATGTGAAAAAATATTTTAAAAAATTAATAAATATACAAAAATTCAAAAAATGTAGAGAATTTTTGTTTTTTTTTTTTTATATTTAGTGATTTTTTTCATAAATATTATACTTTTTAAGTGTATTTATGTTAGGTGTCAAAAATTAAAAAAATTACTTAAAATATTTAAAAAATTTAGTGAAAATAAAAAATTACAAAAAATGAAAAATAAAACTTTTTGAAAAGTGAATTTTGAAAAATAAAACCAAACAGAGTGATTGTTTCCCTATATGGATTATCCAGAAATGATACAGACCCCTCCTTTTTTTTTTGACCCCCACAATCCCCACAGGCACATGTAAGCTAGAGATAGGAGGAAAAAAAAAAAAAGAATAAAGGTTGAGACCCCCTTTAGGGTCACCCCCTTGACTCCCTTTAGTTTTGATTGGTCAACTTTTTCTTTTTTTTTCTTCTCACCCAATCCCCAACCTCCATGTGTGTGAGGGGGTTGTGGGGGTGAGGGTGGGTGTTTTAAGGGGGTCTAAATCAATGCCCAAAAAATAAAATAAAAAGTTGACCAATCACAATGCATTGAGGGTGGTGGGGGTTCCCAAAAAAGGGGTCCAACCTTTTTCCATGGATTATCTTATGAGAGAGGGAATTATATTGATAATATTATGAAGTTATTTAATAAAATTTGTTGCACTAAGGATTATAAAATTTGGGGCGTTACAATTAAAAATGGATTTATTTATAATAATAGCATTGCCACATTATTCTTGTTAAGTTTTTTATATGACATTTTATGTATGTTTAGAATTTTTTAAAAAAGTAAATTGTGATTTGGGTATGACTTATTTTTTATTTATTTTTTTACTTATTACAAAAAAATGTACAGAGAAAATAAAGAGGTGATGTGACAGAAATAAGCCAATAAACCAATAAGTTGCCCATTTTTTGTGTATCCAAAACAAGCCTTAGGCTTCGTTTGGGAAGAATTTTTAGTTTAACTTTTTAATTTTTTGGTTATTTTAGCCTGACTAAAAAAATTATGTTTGAGATGAATTTTTGGTTTTTTTGTAGTTTTGTGAGGAAAAAAATAATAATTATAATTTGAATGTGACATTTTGTCTTCTTAATTTTTTAACCTATTTTATCTTTTAGTTGGTAGGGAGGGAAACAATATGAACCCAAGCCCAAACCCAATCACACTAACCTAAAACAAAAATGAGTAAGTCCAAGCTCGTTCTTTGAAATCCATGAAAGATAGCTGGCAGCAACTTGGCATCCAATTAAGGTGCATGAAGGGACAAACAAATATAAAAGCTAGCCTTTTAGAAGGCAAATTGGTAAAATAAAAGAGAGACGTCGGATTGGGTATCATTCAACGGTGGCAAACGTAAAATAGACAAGACTAAGGCATAGACTGGGCCTAGTGGGAGGAGGGGTCATTCGATCAAATTAACCTTACGAACGTAATGCTCGGCAACCTGACCACTAACGTCTGACATCATCTAGGTCGTCAATGCAACAAAGATCGAATGATCAAAGACAAAGGCAACCTGGCAAGTTGCCCAGAACCAGTTATGGGCAGAACCGTTTGATCAAAACACAATCCAACAAATGAGATTTGAGTCAGAATAGTTATAAATGGTAAGTAAGCAAAGCATAGAAAAAACAAGAGAATGATTCCAATTCAATCTAATTATACTAAATCTTGATCAATTTCTACTTCAGAAATATTTTCTTTTTAAATATTTATGGTCATGCCTGATCAGTATACTGACTTGATCATTGAAGGGTCCTCCTGACCTATTCTGGTCGAGAGTGATCATTGACGTTTAGTTTCTCTTTATAAAATACAAAAGATTAGACGTATCACCTCACATTCCTTCTGAAAATAATCTCACATTCCACAATGGACTAAATTTGCCCCAACCATCTTCCCAAATGTGATCTTAGTATCGCATGATTAAATTTAGGCCCTTTATAAAACAAAAATTTTGGTACCAAACAGATCCATGTACACTTGGGTTGAATATATAATAATTACTTTGTTTGGTTTCAAAAAATTAAGCTTATTTTTTTTAAAATTAAAATTATTATTTTTTGTGTTTTTTTGTTTTTAGTTAAATTTTTTAATATTTTATTTTATTTTATTTTATTTTTTAAGATATACCTAACTAAGATACATTTAAAAAGTATACTATTTATAAAAAAAATTTAAAAAATTCAATTCATTTTCATATTCGTATGTATTTATTGAACTTTTTAAATATTATTTGTATAAATATTTTATTTTTTAAGTGTATCTAATTTATATATATCTAAATAAAATAAAATAAAATAATTAAAAATATTAAAAAAAATTATTTTGAGAAAATCAATCAAAACTAGACGCGTTCAATAAATCAATCAAAACTAAATGCGTTCAATATTTTATTTGGGATCAATTAAAGTCCAGACCACATCCAATTTCGTTTCATTTATATCCCGTTCTCTCTCTCTTTTTCTCTCTCTCTTCGCCGTCTCTATCACCCCCTTATTCTATCAGTAGTACTCTCTCTCTCTCTCTCTCTCTCTCTCTCTAAAAACTCAGTCCTCGAATTGTCTGCTTCTCAAAGCTAGGGTTTTGTTTGGAGCCCTAGACTTGTTGATTCGATGATGGACTGAACTCTCTGCCCCTAATCCCCCCCAATCACCATTGTGGAGGCTTCTTAGCCCTTCAATGTCTCTCGTCGAGACCTCGATCGATTGCGTCCATCAACGCCTCGATCGCCTCCCTTCCAAACGCAAACTCGACGATTATGCCCCCTCCGATTCCGACACCGATTCCGACTTCTCATCGGACTTAGTCTCCGTCAGGATGAGGAAAGACGAACCCAATTCCGCCGCCGCCGCTGTCGTTTCCACCTTCTCCACCAATCAGATCTCTCCACCGCTTGAAACTAGGGTTTCCGATGCTCGATCGGCTTCTTGCTCTTCTTTGTCCCATTTCCTTTCAATTCGATCACTCTCCAGTCTTCAATTCTTCGTCAGAACCTTCTCTCAAGGTAATAATACCCTAGTTATTCACGCGAATTCTGAGGATACTGTGAAATCCATACACGATCGCATCGAGGAGATTACGGGGATTCCCGTGATCGAACAGAGGTTGATTTATCGGGGGAAGCAGCTTCAGTGGGAACAATCTTTAGCTGAGTGTTCGATTCAGAACGATGCTGGGCTTCAATTGGTGGGTCGTATGCGAAGTACCCCTCATCCCAAAGCTTGGCAAGTGATGGATGAGATGGTTTCTTTGATTTTTCGGCTTTGTAAAGGCGAAAACACGCCTTCTGCCAAGTCCGTCAAGTCGAGGCTATCGGAGTTCTTGACCATGACGCCGAGGAACGACAATGAAGCTGCTTATGGCCATCTTCAGATATTTTTATCTTCTTGCGCTCCAGCGGCTTTGGTTATGCTCTACATGTCGCCCTATAAAGGTAACAAGGAGTGTGGTGATGAATCGATTCGGCAATTTGTTAATTCTAGTCGAAATGTGTTGCCAAAAGCTATACACGCTCTGTGTGCACCTATAGTGTTAGAATTTTGCAAGTTGCTTGGTAGAGCTGCTCATGATGACCCTTTGTATTCATTGTGTAGAAGTAGTCTTGGGTCAATGGTGGAATATATTGGCACTGGGTTGGGTTCGAAAAGCAGTGATAATAGTAAGGCATTGATTGTAGTTCAAGAGGTTTTTCAATTTGTTAGAGAGCTTGCAGCTAGGTTGTCTAATGATCTAGTGTTGAGTATCGAATCGCCAACGAATGTGGGGCCATTGTCGAGTGATGTCCGTGATTTCACGGCGTTCTTGCACCCCCTACGAACTGCAATTATGGAGCAAGTGGGTTTTGGGGGTCCAATCTCAATGCCATTTTCTGAGGGTGATCATAATCTTCCCTTTTACGATGAAGAGATTAAGTTTCTTTATGGTATTTTTACTGATTTATTGGGAAAAATGGAACAGTGTCTTCAGAAAATGGAGGAGTGCTTGGCTACGAAAGAGAAAAGGGAAGGTGAACAACTTCCTCAAGGATGGGACCAGTATCTTGCTATTTTGAAGGAATTGAATATTATCTCTAAACTTTATCAAGGTGCTGAAGAACAATTCTTGACAAAATTGAGGCAGCGAAAGGTTTCTGTTTGTTATCTTATCATCAGATACGCGAAGCGGAGTGACGATCATAAATGGCTTCTTGAGCACAAGGATGTGACAGATTTTGAATCTAGGAGGCATCTGGCGATGATGATGCTTCATGAAGTGAAGGATGAGTATGAGGAGCTTCATGAGATGCTCATTGACAGGTCACAGTTGTTGTCAGAATCGTTCCAGTACATTGCACGTGCAGAACCTGAGGCATTGCGTGCTGGTTTATTTATGGAGTTTAAAAATGAGGAAGCTACAGGACCTGGTGTATTGCGGGAGTGGTTCTTTATGGTATGCCAGGCAATTTTCAATCCACAGAACGCCCTTTATGTAGCTTGCCCAAATGATCGTAGAAGATTTTTCCCGAATCCTGGTATGTGCCGGCAGTCTTTCATGCATGGTTTTTTTAAACTACATTTAATTTGTTTGTTATGCATTTGCTCATTGATAAATGTCTATTCTTGAGATTGTTTCCAGGTTGAAATGATCACGAATCCCTATATTGCATTGATATGTTGTTGTTTCTTGAACCTGTAAGAAGCATGGATTGTAGGATTTTGTGTATATTTGAAACTACATTTTGTAAATATGACATTATATTTAAGTAGTTCAGTGTACTTGGGCATAACTATATAAGGAACACAGTTGTGTTCATCAGAAATAGAAGTTGGAGATTGCTTCATATATAAAGGGTCTATGAGCTGTGATGTATTTTTGGCTTCCAGCCTTGCAAACCTTGTGTGATTACATATTTCATGTTAAATGGTAGATCTTAGTCAATGGCGTGGAAACAATGAGGGCATTCTGATTTTTTTTGATAAGTAAATATATAAAAAATGAGGCAGCAGGAGGGTGCAATATACATCGAAAATCATATTTAAAACCATCTACAAAATACAAATTGTGTAAATAAAAATTGACATGTAATTCATAATGTATTTTATTTTCTTGCATGAAGTGAGAGGATAAAGACTCTGAATAATATAAATGGAACTCCTAGGGATGTAATTTAAATGTTTGATGTGCAAAATACTTATCAGAGAAAATTATGTTGCGTACATGGTTGGTTGCTTCATTTAGTCACTTGATTGAATAATAGTCTTCACTTTGCTTTCTTTTGTTTTATTTATTGTCATGTGCTGCCAATGAGTATTCCTTCTCTGAGCCCTGTGGATAGGGACATTTTCTTATCTTTTGAGTAAGGGATTTGGCTAGAAATTGAAAAAAAATAAAAGACAAAGACCAATTATTTGCTTGATGACTTAATCTTTGCAATGGATGCTTCTTTCTTTTATGAATCCCACTGTAATGTATGCCAAGGAGAAAAAACAAGTAAAGTTTAGTTTGGATTTTGTTAGTTCTCAACTAAGCAAAGATCTTTCACTGGCTATTTAACATCAAGGTACACTATTATCATTCCTTCAAGTATATATTGATTGCAATTCTTAAACCCCAGTCTGGATCTACCTTACTTTACCATCTGAGCTCAACAAATGAGGCTGGGTAGTTTTTTCTCTTTTTCACCTTGCTTCCATGTTTTAAACTTTCAATGGAAACTAATGACTCCTTTTGTGGTAGGGGAGAAAAAAAAACGAGACAAGGAAATGATGAACTTTTATAATTCCTTCACCCCAAACAATTGGTTTATTTGTGAGAAGAGAACAAAAGGTGATCTTGAAGGAAACAATTGAATATTTTGTTTTTTTAACTTGTGTTTACTCTACTCTTAAACAATCTGAAACTTGTGGGGATGAAATTGTTTCTGAATTAAGGTTGGTGTACATGTTAATATTGGGTACCTGCACCTTGTTATAAAAAAAATGTCCTACCAGTGTAGGAAGCTCCCGCTCACAACAGGGTCTGGCTGGCTGAGGGATATTATAGTAGGCAGTTAGCATGTCAAATTTTTTAGTTCTTATTTTTTGTTGTGTCTAGAGGTGCCTTAAAACTTTTTTGTTTTTTTTAAAAATAATTTTGAAAAGTTGACTTGAGGTCAAAGTGAAATATATGAAAATTTATATTCCTATACATAGCAAATATATGAAAATTTGTTCACTCATACATCGATGACTCGCATATCTTCGTGCTCTAAAAATTGATATTCCTATACATAGTAAATAAAATTATATAAAAGTAATCTATATATGTGTTGTGTCATATCCCTGTTGTGTCCATATTATAATTTTTTGATACTTGTGTCTGTGCTTGTGTCGTGTCCGTGTTTGTGCTTCATAGGTAGGGAGGCAACCTTACCCCCACTTTTTTTTTTTCATGACTTGAACTGTCTTACTCTTCCCTTTACCCTTTGGTTCTCTTCTCTGTTAGTGTACCAATGAATAGGAACTTCGACTCTGATGAACCACCCCAACAACCCCTCCTACCCTAGCTGATATCTTCCATCACAAATGCATACGCCGTCTTAAGTTAGCCCTTGATAGGCTTAAAAACTTGCTTTCAATTAAGTAACGAGAACACACTATGAATTGTTTGGGGTTTTATTACATTCATTATTTACCTTCTCTGCTGTCACCATGAATTGTTTGACCATATGTTGTTCATTCATTATTCATATTTCCTGCTCTCTCTCTCTCTCTCAAACACACACACTCTTTAATTTATAATACACCACCATTGTCATTGCAACATTCAAAGCTGAAGATTGCTTGTAAATCCTGTCTTAGACAACACATTTTATGCACATTCAACACCAATTTGATCAATTTAGGGGTTTGGTCTGTGTACAAAAGTAGTAACAGCAGTTATATATATTGTGTTTATTTGCAGTGTCCAAGGTAGATCCTTTGCACCTTGAATATTTTAGCTTCTCTGGCAGGGTAATTGCCCTAGCCTTGATGCATAAGGTGCAAGTTGGCATTGTCTTTGATCGTGTGTTTTTCTTGCAATTGGCTGGAAAGGATGTTTCTTTGGAAGATATTCAGGATGCAGATCCATGCTTGTACAACAGTTGCAAGAAAATCTTGGAAATGGATGCTGAGATGGTGGATTCAGATGCACTGGGTCTAACATTTGTGCGAGAAGTAGAAGAGTTAGGATCCAGGAAAATTGTGGAGCTTTGCGATGGTGGTAAAAGCATTTCTGTGAATAGTAGGAATAGGGAGGAGTATGTTGATCTTCTTATTCGGCATCATTTTGTCACATCTATCTCTGAGCAGGTAACCCATTTTGCTAAAGGGTTTTCTGATATGCTTTGCCAACCATTGCTCCATAAGTTCTTTTTCCGAAGTTTGGAGCTCGAAGATCTTGATTGGATGCTGCATGGGAGTGAAAGTGCTATTTCAGTGGAGGACTGGAAGGCACATACTGAATATAATGGGTACAGAGAAACTGATCCACAGGTACTCTGGTTCTGGAAGGTATGTGCCCACATAATTCTCGTTTTACTAAATCTTTAATGTTTTACTTATGAAGCACGTTCAACCTTTTTTTTTCCCTTCTTTTTTGTTTTTCATTTTCCCTGAAGTAATCAAAACATATTACATTGGTTTCTTCATTTATACATATATTGGTTGCTTTTTCTCTATGCTGGAAGGGGGGGTGGGAGGTGGGGGGTGGGGTTACTTTATGAATAATTCTTTATTAACAGATGAAATATTGTGTCAGTGACATGACGGAAATATGCATGATATGAGGGAAATAAGGAGAGAAAGAAATGACAGAGCTACAATTTAAGACCAAAGGAAAACGTAGCAGTGATGGGAGTAATTCTTTAATTTGCAATTTCATTTGTCAAGTTGAGATTGTCCGAAACATCTTTTTGCTTTTGTATTCCTTATATAATCTCTTCTAATCCTTTTTATATTCATTACCCAAAATATTATAATTGTATTTCTTACTACAACCAATAACTAATAAGGTTTACAACATGGGCACCTGATGTTCTGAGTAAGTGCTCATACAGATTGTATAAACCCTCTGAGTGATGAACGAGTGTTTGTATGCACCTATATGAAAGAACACATGACACATTGAAAGCTGCTGTTGTGGCATCAAATTGATAAATCATGCCCTCGCTTTTGGAGGATGTAACTGAGTCATCACTATATCTTGAAATTAGAATACAGGATGCCAGTTTTGGACTAATGTGTTCTTTGCAGTGTCTAGTGAGGTTAGGAGTGAATTAATACAATGTGTACAAATAAACAAACTGAAAGCTAGGGGAGGTGGACTGTGGAAACTTACCTAGGGAACGAGAGGTTTATTGAGGAATTTGAAGAGCTTTATGTTAATTTTTAGACAAGGCATGTGATATGTCCATAGATATAAAAGATTGATATCACATTGGACTTTCAGCATAGGAAACAGCTGCAAACAGTGATACTGACATAATTAAGACATGTAAACAACCTGATGAGAGTGAGTTAATTTCTTTTAACAGTGGCTTACATCAATGTCCAACATTAAGCTCTCTTATCTTCTTGCCTTAGTTATGGTGCCTGATAATATTAGTTTTTAATTGTGAAATCAAGGTTAGGTTAAATGCTAGGTTATCATTGTTTAGAGAAGCTTTAGAATTAAGAGATAAATAAAAATTGGATGATAGCCAACAGATCTCTGAAGAGTGCCCATTTTTCTTTGTGTAATATGTAGTACACAGGTGGATATTGGCCAAATCATATTAGCGAGATAGATGAAGCAAATCAAGTGCTGCTTGGAATGTGCTTATTAGGTACAAGTCATATTAGACAGATGTGTGGCTGGTCTGCTTTGTGGGATAGAATTTTCAGCGGTTAAAAGCTATTTTTCATGGAATTGGATATGAGTGGCAGATGTCCTAAGTCTTACGATACGAGGATATATATCCAAAAGTTAGGTACAAATATGTGAACATTAATGTATTGTATAGTGTATAATACTATGGCTTATTTAGGGGGCAAGTGAGATTTCTATGTTCCATCCACGTCAAATGTAAGTTTCTTCTTCTTCAAACATCATAAAAAATTAGAAGATTGACGGCTCTAATTTGGTACAGGGGTTGGACACATCCCATACACTTATCCTAATCATATCTGATTCATTAAAGGGAATAGAGAAGTCCATGTAACACTAATTAAAAGACTTGTTGAGGGAATTGGTGTATTAAGATGGAAAATGTTGAGACATCCATGGCAAAAGAAGAGAAAACAGAACTTAGAAACAAATTCATTAGTAAGAAGAAGATATTTTGCATCTCTCTGACACCATGAAACCTCTGTGAGTGTGTTATAAATCTTGTATGTTTGAAGTAGTGTGAAGCTAATGTTTGAAGTAAGATCATTTTACGTAGATTTGACATTTGTATGTAAAATGAGATATGGACTAGCATGCCTGCACTTTATTTTTGTCTAGTTTACAACATGTTATCATTCTTTAGTAGGGGCAACAGTTATGTGCATTAATACTTTTTGAGACGGGGAATTCAGTGCTTCTATTATATGCCTCAATATGGATTAGATCTGTAGAATTCTATGTTTGTTTGGTTTGATTTTTCAAAAAACTTTTTTTATATGAGTTTTCGTTTATTTTTAGTGATTTTTTTCTATATATTTTAATCAATTCTTTGTATTTTTTAGTTGCACCTAATCAAATGCATCTAAAAAGTAAAACAAATTGACTAAAATATTAAACAAAATCAGTAAAAATTGATGAAAATCAATCTTTGCATTTTTGTTCGGGTTTCTATTTGTTTTTAGTGAATTTTTTTTCCTTCATATTTTAGTTAAACTTTTTACTTTTTAGATGTATCTAGTCTTGATGTATTTGCAAAATGAAAAAAGTTTAGTAAAGACAAATGAACACCTGTTTAAAAATAGTTTATGAGAATTGTAACCAAACAAAGCCTATGGGTAAAACATACAGACGCCCCTTGAGATTTGAAAAAAATATAGCAAGCTTCACAGTTTTGGCATGATTACACTGACCTCCATTTTGGTAAGACAAAAGAAATCAGAACGAATACATATGATGTGAAAAGACAAGGATAAACAAAGAAAAATATACATTTCAACACAAAATATGACATCATTTTTCCATTCATACGATTAACAAATTATTGATGAAAAGGGAGTTCGGTGTTATGTGTTATGTGAATTAAAACCTTCAGAAAATCCTATGTTACTATGTCAAAATAGTGGGGCTTATAATATTTTCTCCAAACTTCGGGGGAGGCTAGTGTAATTTACCCTTTTATTATTTTGGAATTAGTATTTGTTCTTTTCATTGTTTGTTTTGGATGAGAAAGGAGTCTTTTGTTAGTCATCTCTATTGTGCAGTTTATAGGAGATCTGTTTATGCCTTCTAATGTAGTCTTTAATTTTTTCCTTTTTTATAGGGTTCACCTCATTCAACGTGGTGATTGGTTAATAATACTTTTTTTCTTATCCAAAAGAACAAAAAGGAAAAAAGAAAAGATTGCATGGATTACAATTTAAGTAAATTTGTGTAAATGAATATCAGAAGAGGTTAGTTTTAGATATAAAGCAGATTCGGAAGGTGTAGACCTGTTAGATTAATTCAACTAATAGAAACTTGAGGAAGAGTTTATCTCAAAATGTGAAGTGTGGGAAGGATGTCAAAGTATTAGTAGAAGTTGTGTACCTTCTTCTTCATTGTTCCGTGGCTAGTGATTTATTTGTTCAATTTTTGGTTTGGTTGGAATTATTTTTGTTTCAGTGTAGCATCTTATTGAGGCACTTGCCAATTGTTCTATTGCAAGTTATAGAAACTTGAGGAAGAGTTTTTTTTTTTTTTAAATGTGAAGTATGGGGTGTCAAAGTATTAGAAGAATCCGTGTGCCTTCTTCTACGTTGTCCGGTGGCTAGTGATTTGTTGAATCCGATTGTTCAATTTTTAGTTTGTTTATGAAACATGGGTGCTTCGAAAAACATGTCGTACCCGTACCAGGTATTTACCGGTATATGGTATTTTGTATGGTACTTTTGCATACGTACCGGGTACATGAAATACGTAACCAAATTTTTTCTTCTTAATTTTTGGTGTACCCAAACGTACCTAGTACATACCCAAATCGTACCGTACCTTAGTTGAAACAATATTTTCTTGTACTACAAAGATAAAACTTCTTTTATTAGGCTTCTTTTTTAGTTTTTGTTTTATACTTGGCATGATTTTAAAATTAAACTATGGTTTGTAAGTTATTTAATATATTGAAATTTAATTTTGATTTATACTTTTACTTTTGACATTAAATGTTAATTGTAGGTTGAATTTTGACAAATTAAACCATTTAATTAATTTTTGCATTATTCTAAATTAAAAATAAATATTTTTTTACAAGTATCCGTATCCTATTTTTTTTTTAATTTTACCGTATCGAGATACTCGTATTGTACTAGTACAAGTACTAGTACTCGTACCCGTAGGGTAGGAGTTGTTTTTGTTTCAGCGTAGGATCTTATTGAGGCATGGAGTGCCAATTGTCCTAAAACATGGGTGAGGAACTTGGTAGGCATTTGCTTTATGTATTCTATGGATAGTGTGGACAGAGCAGAATATAAGATCTTTTGATACTCTTAAACTCCCTATTATTAGCCTGAAAGGATCGTTGCTCTTTTCTTCCTAAAATGTTCTTGGCTCCTTTGTTTGTTTTTTTGGCTAAGAGCCGAGTGTCTTTTTTTTCTTCAACTATTTTGTGCAGTTTATAGGGGATTTGTTTATGCCTTTTGATATATAGCTTACAGCTTTTTGTCTTTTCTAAAGGGTTAGCCCTCTTCAACATGGTGCTCAGTTCATAAAGACTCTTTAATTTTAACCAAAAAAAAAAAAAAAAAGAAGAAGAAGAAAAGATTGCATGGATTAGAGCTGTTCATTGGGACCAAACCACTTGAAATATTTGACCGACCCGACCTGAAATTGAAAGCTACAGATGGCTTTGTTAGAACTTGCGGTTGGCAGTGGGCCTTTCACTATTTATAAGTCCGGGTGATGTGGATGTGGTCATTTGAAAATTGTGAAACCAACTTGACTGAATAGTTGAATTAAAACATCTCATCCACTTATGTGTTTACCCTATAGTTTGTTTGAGATATCATACCACCGGACCACCTTATCACAGTTGGTTTACATTTATCTCTAATGGTTCTCCCAGTTTGTTCTCGTCGTTCTCAAGATTTGCAGATCAAATCTACATCCTTCAACGACCACTACCAACAACAGAGTACACCAGAAATTTTGACACCTCCAAAACCCTAGAATCTGCACCCAAATCTTCCTCTCACAAGATGAAGAGCCTTTACTCCGTTTGCTTTAATTTTTTTGGACGATTTTTTTAAGTGAACTATTTTCATATTTTAGGCAATTTTTATATATTTATTTATTTTTTAGATGCACCTAATCTAGATGCTTCTAAAAAGTAAAAAAATGTTGATCAAAATATGAAAAAAGTTTTCTAAACCAAAAGAAAACCAAATTTCTTTCCTAGGTTTTTCTGAAGATTTGAAAGGATGTCAAATTATTAAAGGATGTCAAATTATTGGAGGAATCTGTGTACCTTCTTTTCATTGTCCAGTGGCTAGGCCAGTGTTTTGTGGAATCTGATTTGTTCGATTTTTGGTTTAGTATGGGTTATGTTTGATTCAGTGTAGGAACTTGTTGAGGTATGGAGTGTCAATTGTCCTAAAATTTTGGGAGAGGAACCTAATAGGCATCTACATTATGTATTTTATAGATAGTGTTGGATAGAGCGCAATGGAAGATCTTTTGATGGTGTTGAGCTCCCTATTAATAGCCTGAAAGGATTTTCTTGCTAAAAGTTTCTTTGTTCCTTTCTTTGTTTTTTTTGGCTGAGAGAGAAGTGTCTCTTTTCATTGACTCTTTTGTGCAGTTTATAGGAGATTTGTTTATGCCTTTTGTTTCCTGAATTCATGCACAAGTCAATGGACTGAAAATCGTTGTTTCAAATCCTTTTCATTAGAGGCTTCCCTGTATTACCTTGAGTTCACTTTGCACTCAAACGACTTCAAATGCATGCCTGAGCTTGCTTTTTAGTGCTTCAAATGCATAAGCTATGATTATTCACTGTACCCATAAACTAGAAAATCCATACTATTAATTTGATTACAATTAGTTTTATATGTGGAAGCAACATGTCCTTGTGATGAAAGGAATCTTTCCTTCACTAAGGTCATTTTCTGTTGATTGTTTTGTGGTTTTCAAATCTAAGAATCTTATGCTTTGTCTGCTTAAAATATCGAGTAGATTTCTTTTAAATTGTTCTATTCAAAGTCGTCTGGTTATTCGATTTGACAATGGCATTCTGTTAATTGGTACGTCAGCACTCACAGCAGATAGACCAAGAAGTTCTGCAGACAGATTTAAGGGTACAAACTGTGCACAGCATTGCCATGGTGAGACTTTCCTGGTGCAGTCAGGTTGAGACTCAGCTTCCCATGAGCTAACGGTTGCTTGTGTCACTAGTTTTTCCGTATCCATCTTTCAGAGAGGTTGTGGTAAAAGGGAGGACTGATTTGAGGAATGGTATAAGCTAATTTTCTTCCCATTGCATCAGTAAAGAAAGGGCTTAAGAGTTCAATTTTTTTGATTTTTGAGAATCAAAAGTTCTCCATTGAAACGGTTATTAAGGAGGCTCTCTTACCTTCTTGTCTATTGATCCCTCTATGTTAAAGGCATTTGAATGGATCCCCTCCGAGATTAAGCCAATGACTGGACTTAAGACTCCTTGTTTTGTCACCCATTTTGTACCTATTATATAGGTCTTTTTCCCTTGATTTTCTCACAATATGTTTTTCTTTTATTGCTTTAAGAGCTGGTTCATAGAAATAGTTTAGTTGAAAGGCAGCACTAATTTAGAAATACATGATGGAAAATTGGTTTGGGAGACATTTGGGTGGTCATTGGTAAGCGGGCTGACCATGGGCTCGTTGGGATGGCATTTAGTTTACATGAGACCACCAAAGGTGGTAGGTGGGAGCTGAGGCTGTCTTAGACAGAGAGTGGCATAGAGATCCAAGCTTGACCTCTGCATGTCTGTCTCCTTGTGTGGAGGTGGATGCCTTTTTCTCAATTTGCATGTGTAGGGTTCAACTACCCTTGTACTATCAACAACAAATTATGAGATGCTACTCAGTTGTTGATTGTAATGTATTGATAATATGATTGCCTGAATCTTAAAATTGTTGCAGATTGTTGAGGAAATGTCAGCAGAGCAGAAAAAGGTTCTCCTCTTTTTTTGGACTTCATTAAAATATCTACCTGTGGAGGGTTTTGGCGGTTTGGCTTCTCGGCTACACATCTACAAGTCTTCGGAGTCCCATGATCGCCTTCCTTCGTCCCACACATGCTTCTACCGACTGTGTTTCCCACCTTACCCATCTAAGGATATTATGCAAGATCGTCTTCGCATTATAACCCAGGAACATGTCGGCTGCAGCTTTGGCACATGGTGAAATATCGACAGCATCAACAATTTTGGACAGAAAAGGAACTTTCTTATGATTGCACATAAAAAGATTTGTATCCAGCTTTGTACATATTATATATAGGGTAATGTTAGCTGTTTTGCTATTTATAACTATGTAAGAAGCTGCTGTCTCTCTATTGTGTTTCTACAATGAAAGTTTGTAATTTCTTTTTCTTTTTTCTTTTTTACCTTCTTCTCAAACTGTTTATATAGGTACAATTTAAATAAGGAAACAAGGAAGATAATTCCCTCAACTTCTATTGTAACATCTATGCTTCCTTTCTATGCATGAAGTTTGTTGAAATTATCCCTTGACATGCTGTGTTGATATAATTCACTAACTAAATTGTGTTTGACCAAACGAAGTTTATGTGGATCGTATGATACTCGTTTTTGTTTTTGTTTTTGTTTTTGTTTTTAAACCCAGATATTACACCGGGAAGGGATTAGGTTTTTATTTTTATTTTTATTATTGGGATGTCTGGATCAGTTTGTGTACACTTTGACTAATTCTTGGAGGACTAATTTTACAATCCACTAACGGGAGGTTTAATTAAAGTCAGAGCAGAGCTATATATGAATTGGCTTTAACACAGGAATTAATAGCATGTAAGAGGTTATGAATTGGCTTTAACACAGGAATTAATAGCATGTAAGAGGTTTCGAACTGGAGACCTTGAGAGAAGCAAATTCTCAAGTCTCAAACCTACACTACTAGGCCTACATTTCAATCCCTTGGTTTCTCGTATCAAAGTTTAGGATTCATATGACCATAAATAACTCGGATGAAAGGAGCCTGTTTTGGTCTCTTTAGGTTTTTGACACATTTCGGGTCTCAGGATTTCCCTTCCTTTCAAGAAAAATGAAGACATAAATCATAGTAAAGTTGGCGATTTTACAAAAAAATCTTTTCCACTTTCCTACCAAATCTCTGTATTCTGGCACATAAATGAAGGGATTGAAGAGATTATGGCAGACCATGTTCACCAAGAGATGACCGGAAATTTGATCTTGGTCTATTTGAGATTTGTTGACTTGAGTCTCCTAGTCTCGGTTTTAGCTATAATCGTTCCTTGTCTCAGGCTCAAGCTGTCTCTAGCCTTCCTTCTCCATTCCCAACAGGCTTCCTGGAGGCCCTTCCCCATAAGGCCCCACTGTCGAGTCATAAGCGCCCTCTTGCTACCCTTACTTGGATTTCACCATTTTTGTGTTATAGGAGGATTCTAAACTGTCCCATAGACTATATAGCATTATCGTTGATTTGATAGAGGAAAAGAAAAGAATAGAAAAGATAGTCACATAGTAGGAGTCTTAAACTAATTTTATAGCAGAAGGAAGCATTCTTCGAATACATTATCAAGCATGAGAAAAACCAAAAATATTTATTATTAGAAATGAGAACTACAAATATTTCACAAATCTCACCCTTTCACACCACCAAACCCATATTTGCCATTTATTTGGCAAGTAAGCTGATGTGGACCCAAGTGATCAACATTACCATAATTTTAGGTTCCAAAAACCTTAGCTTAAATCATAATAATAATTGATGACAATCAAATATCAACTAAAAATGAGATTAAAAACTTAAAAAACAACTCCTGAAATGCAATGCAACCCTAGAAAACCCACACTCTTTTGTCTGTCTTCATAGACAATATATCCTCTAATCCTCACTCTTCTCAACTGCAACTTCACTTGGTTTCTTTTCTTCAGACACCGGTTCCTCAGCCGGTACAGCATCCGTTGCTTCAGCTGCCTCTGTCTTCACCTCTGGAGCCTGTTCTGCTGGGGCAGGATCAGCCGGTGCATTGGTAGCTTCAGTAGTTTCATCTTTCACCTCCTCAACAACAGGCTCTGCCTTCACCTCTGGAGCCTCTTCTGCAGGGACCGGTGCAGCATCAGTAACTTCGGTAGTTTCTTCTTTTGTCTCCTCAACAAGAAGTTCTGCCTTCACCTCTGGAGCCTCTTCAGCAGCAACTTCAGGTTCCTCAACAACTTCCTTAATCTTGGCTTCAACTGCCGGGGCTTCAGCTTCCGGGGCAGCTGCTGGCTCCTCTGTTGTTGCTGCCACCTCAGTTGGTTTTTCAGTCACTAGCTCTGGGGCAGGTGGTGCTGCCACTGCCTCTTCTGGCTGGGTCTTGCTCAACTCAGTTGTTTCAATTTCTGGCAATGCTGTTGCTGCCAGTGTAACCTCCAAAACCCAGAATGAAAAGAAAATGATTTACAAACAGAATATATATATATATATATATACTCAATTAAAATGATGTGACAATGACATTTTTGAAATTATAATCCACTTTGAATATCATTACTGAAAAGGAAATGATTGGAAAATGTTTTAAGAAATTGGGAAAACATAGATCATACCTCTACTATAACAAGCCTAGTAAGTTTTGATGCTTTGGAAGAGATTAAAACATAAATTTACGGTGTTAACTCATACCAAAAACTATAGCAGTCATTACTCCAACATTGTCACCATGTATCAAAAACAGGAGATCAGTCGTCATGTTTTTGCTCTTCTGATATTGATACATTCTGATATATCGTTAAGATTGAAAATCACAGTTCAGCAACGATATACAAAAAATCTATTTTTTTACAACTGACATTTAAAAAAATTCAAAACTGTCAATTGATTTTCCATACTTCCCATATCACTACACTGCCACCTATACCAATTCTCATCTCCCTATACTGCTAATTAAAATCTTGCTGATCACACCAAACTAGGTTAATTAATGGGCTGGTTTATCACTGAAGCCAGAGCATGCTCACTGATGCTAATGAATCAAATAACAAACTTGAATTTGTGACCTATCTCCTGTCTAGCTCTCAACTGATGGATAGCCATTATGTTCTTTTTGTGTGTATAGTTTTTCAATGTACCAAACTAGTTAGCAACATGATAGATCAACATGCTCTTGTTATGTATTAAAACAAGCTACTGATTATAATCCTGTGTCATGGATCTCTTGCAATGAATCTAAATAATAAAGTCATTTTAGAATGTGTGATTTTTAATAAAAGAATGTAGTATTTTGATGTCATTTTTTACTAGAGTTTTAAACTCGAGCCGTTGGATACAGCAATGTTACGTACCTATAAAATTTACCTAGAAAAATACTCAGAATTTACAATCTAAAAACAAGATCCATTTGTTTCTGCCCCCACAACTTCAAATTTATACTGTAGATTTCAAATTTGAGGCAATTTTTGGGGTAGATAGCATTTTTGGCGTTGGATTATTGTTTTACTGTGATAAAAAGCACAGTAACATCATTGCAGAAAAACGATGACAGAAGATCCTTTATCTTGAGAGAGAGAGAGAGAGAGAGAATGAGTTTGACAATCTAAAAACATTGTGATTACAATCAAATTGAATGATGGAAATGATGATCAAAGATGGGTTATGCTTTGCAAGTTAGAGATATAAGCAAAAGTGGTAGTTGAGTTACCTCAACAGTGGCCATTGGAAATGCAAATGAAAGCAGAGAGAGAGAGAGAGAGAGAGAGAGAGAGAGAGAATCTGAAAGCAAGAATGGAAGAGTACAGGCTGTGAGTGAGCTTTGATCCAATGTGAGAGCTATATATAGAGTGTGTAATTGCCTAGAATTAATAAAATAAAATTAATGGGTGAGAGGAGTGTGAGCACTTGAAAAAGAATCTTTTGCATCAGCAAATTGACACCTCATAACTCTGACATATAGGATACACATTGGCCTTGTCTAGTTGTAAATGTTTTTACTTTACAAAAACAAAGATAAAGTATTTTGAGATGAGGTGTTACACACACACACACACACAGAGATAGTCTTGAAGTGCAATACTACATAACCATAATTTTTGTTCATAAATTTTATCTAGAAACTTTAAGGGTAAATTATACAAATCCCTCTTAAGATTTGAAAAAAAATTAAGTCTCACAAGTTTGTAAAAATTACATTGAGTTTTTTTTAAAATTTTAATTTATATGACTTTTAACGTTGTCTTTGGTTGGGGGATTTGGAAAAGAATTTAAAAAAAAAAGAGAAAAATTATGTGAAATTAGGTGAAATGTAAGTATATTTTATTTATATTTCACCTATTTTTTTTATTTTCCTTTTCAAATCCCTTCTCAAATCTCCAACTAAACACAGCTTAACACTCTTTGCATCAATAATTCATTAGTAGGCTAGAAAGAAAAATGACGACGTATACTAACACCATCTGCATCAATTTTCTTCTCTTTAACTTTATTAAAAGAGAAATAAATGTAATTAAGTTAAAATTGTAGGATTGTCATAATTTTTCTAAATATCAGAAGTGGTCACTATAATTTACTCAAATATCATTATGTAGTCCAAACATTCTATATACAAATATGTTAGTTCATTTTCTCAGTAATATTTAACAATTTTTTTTTGAAGTGATTATTCAGTATTCTCGGAATATGCACACCTAGTGTTTCATAAGGTTTTGATTGGTGAAGAGGGTAGGAGCCCACGATTTATGTTAAGGATGGGAGAACAACATGGAGCTAAGTAATTGGTAACTGGCTTGGAGTATGGCCACGTGGTGTTCTGGGATTATTGAATAATTTCTCCCTTTTTTTTTTGGGTATTTTAGCTTTAATGAGATAGTGTGTTGTGTTGTGAGTTTTTTATTTTTTTATTATATGATCGGGTGTTCAAACCAGTTTACGTACACTTCGACTAATTCTTGAACTCATGCAAAGCACGTCCTCTATATGAATCAGAAAAATCTCAGGCATAACTGGAAGGTGTGATCCCAAGAAACAAATTACTCATAATGAGAGTTAAATATGAGACCTAAAAGGAGTACACTCTTGCTTCTAAGTTGTGGGTGATTATTCAGTATTCCTGAAATATAGACATGTGCTGCTTCATAAGGTTTTGATTGGTAAAGAGGGGTAGAAGCCCATAATTTATATTGGGGATAAGGAAACAATATAAAAATTAAGTAATTGATAATTGACTTAAAATATACACACTTGATATTTTGGAATTATTAAGGCCAAGTTTGGCAACTCTAAAAAAAGTCAAAAAGTTAAAAAGTTATCACTATTCATCAAAAGTTAAAAATTACGACTGCACAACTCCCAATCTTAATTTTTCCCTACACACTAATTTATACAATTTTTTAATACACATTTTTTTATAAAAAGTCAAAAAGTTAACCCAAATATCTATATTTTTTTTTTCAAATTTTTAATCCAAAAAAATAAAAAAATATATCGACAATGCTACGTAGCTCAAATTTTGTGGCTCAAAAGTGGCTTAAATGGTCAAAACGACGTCGTTTTGAGTACAGAACAACATAAAAATGGCCAAAACGACGTCGTTTTGGCCATTTGAGCCACTTTTGAACCATAAAATTCAAGTTACGAGACATTTTCCAAAATATATATATTTAAGACACCCCAAATAACCCCTAAATAATTTCTCCCAAGTCGCACCCCAAATTGGCCCAAGTTGAACTTGATGAGCTGGAAATGGAAAAGCCAGTTTGTCCATAGTTATCATCACTTTTCTTGAGAGTGTGGTTACGTGTTTCGTGCAGTTAGTCCAGGTAGGTGATTGGGATTATCATGCTTTTCATGTTCAAGGATTCCGTTCAAGGATTCCAATTTGATTTCCCCCTCTTTTTTGCATCAGTTTTTTTTATTTTTATTTATTTAATTAACTAAGCCATAACATAATCCCCACCTTTTGTAAAAGTACAATTTGCTTTCCATAAAAAAATAAATAAATTACATCTCTATACTTTACATTGAATTTCAGTTTAACTTCTAATTTTTTTAATGAAAGAAGATTAAATTTTTTAAACAAACTCTCCCAATTTATTCACGATGACATAAAAAGTTACATATTAATTTTTAATTTATCATAGACTTATGTAAGGCTCAACTAGATTGCTTGTGATTGTAAAATTGTGAACATGTGACAAGAGTTACAATGTATGTGGTGGGTGTACTGAGAAATTTAACAGGTTTATTTAGAAGCTCTATTCTTGTGATAGTCATGTAATCAAATTTCTCAATTCTTCAAATGATAGATGATGGAAAGATCATATTGTAAGTTGATTAAAAATGTAAGATGATGAATGTTGCAAATAATAATGAGGGATCAATTTACCTTTTTTCTAGGGGTGAGCATGGTTCGGATTGGATTAGATTGGAGTAAAACCAGGACCAATCCGTTATTTACGGATCCACTACAATAAAAACACATTTTAGTGACACCATACTAGTGGCACGTTCTTAAAAAATATCATAAAAAGAATATTTGATGGCACTTTTTAGAAAAATGTCATAGAGCTACAAACATACAAGGCCTAGTGACATTTCAATTAAAAAAAGTGTCGCTTCACTACAACAAAAATGTCACTATAACAAATTTACACTTTAGTGACACTACACTAGTGACATATTTTTAGAAAATGCCACAAAAATAAAAATTGGCATTAAATATTTTAAAAAAATGCCACAGAACCACAAACATATGAGGCTCTAGTGGCATTTCAATAAAGAAATGTCACATCAATTTTATGGCATTTTATAAAATAATGACACAAAAAATTATGTTTGTGACATTGCAACAGATGCCACTAAACTTTAGTAGCAATGGCATTTTTTAAAAAGCGTCAGGACACTAGGTAGGTGCAAATTACTTTTTACTTTTTAAAATGCAGTAAATGATTAAAAATAAATAAATTAAACTCAATATACACTACAGGAAAAAGCACATTCGGCGACTAAATTTCCTGACCAAAAAAAATTTAATCGCTAAAAGTAAAAAATGCCAATATATTTTTAAAATTTTTAAAATGCAGTAAATGATTAAAAATAAATAAATTAAAATCAATATACACTACAGGAAAAAGCACATTCGGCGACTAAATTTTCTGACAAAAAAAAAAAATTGGTCCTTGAAAGTATAGCTTTCAGCGACCAAAATAGCATTAGTTGCCAAAAGTAAAGCTTTTTGGCGACTAACCAATTTTAGTAGCCAAAATCTACAATTGGCGACAAAAACTAAGTTTGGCCGCCGAGTATATGGGTTTTAGTGACTAAAAAATTTTTAGTAGCCCAAAGTAAAATTTTTTGGCAACTAAAAAAATTTAGTAGCCAAAAGTCTACAATTAGCGACTAAAAATAAGTTTGGTCGCTGATTATATGGGTTTTACCGACTAAAAAAATTCTAGTAGCCAAAAGTAAAGTTTTTTGGTGCCAAAAAAAATTTTAGTAGCCAAAAGTCTACAATTGGCGACTGAAAAATAAGTTTAGTCGCCAAAAGTGGTCATTTTTAGCGCGGGAGAACTAAAATCCTAAGGCGGAAATTAAATTTTTTAGCGACTAAAATTTTGGTAGCTGAAAGTGCATCTTCGGCTACCAAATCCGATTTTGGTCGGCAAAAGTTAAGTTTTTTAACAACTAAAAAATAATTAGTAGCCAAAAGTATAGAATTGGCGACAAAAAAATATTTTTAATCGCCAAAAGTGATTTTTTTTTATTTTGCTAGTAAATAGTTTATTTTACATAAATTATGTTCAATAAAATAATTATGTTTATACATATACTTTTATATTAATGTGGATTAATGTACTATATAAATAATATATGTTGCATATATAATCATGTGGTGCTATAGAGGTAGAGTGGGAAGAGTGTGGTGTATAAGGTTTATGGTGCGGGAGGTTGGCGGTTCAAGTCTCTGCAAGAGCGGATCAAATTGTTCTTCAACGAATTATCGTCACGAATGGCACTTGATAGCGTAACGAATAATGCCTACCATGACATTAAAGTGTCACTAAAAGGTTTTAGTCTTGATGGTGTAATGACACTTATAAGTGTCACTAACTCTTTTTTTAATGGCGCTTGATAGTGCCACAAATAATATCTACCATGACATCAAAATGTCATTGAAAGTTTTTAGCCATGATAGTGTAGTGGCACTTGCAAGTATCAACCGTGGCACTAGTATCTACCATGGCACGGATACAAATGGTATTTCTTCAAAATGCCACAAGACTAAAAAATGTCATTAAACCAATAGTTTTGTGGCACTTTCAAATGTCACTAAACTAAGAAAATGTTGCAGTGATTCTGAAAAATTAGAACCAATCCAATCCGTTTAAATCGTGGAACCAATCCGAACCAATTCATTAAAACACAGATTAGATCGGTTTAGGACCACAGATTTATATAATTAAATAACAATATATATATAACACTTTAATTTCATAAAAATATAAATATAGCGTCATATTAGTTTCACAATAGCAACATGTTTTTTCGTAATAGCGACAAACTATTCTAGAATTTAAACAACCATAAGAAAAGTAGTTCCACCATAAGTATTTAGACCATTACAAATTAACATAAAAAACTAGCTAACAAAAGTAATAAAAGAAGATACTATGCAAGTTTATGTTTTGATTTAAGTTTTATATGAAATAAGAGAAGATACTATGCAGGAGGGTGTATAATAAAAATATAGACTATTTGTATACGGTCCGGATCGGTTCCAATCCGGAACCGTGGGGTTCAATCCGAAACCAATCCGTGAACTACGGATTTTTAATTTTTCAATCTG